CCTCCTAGCTGTAAATGGAATAAACAGAGGCTGAAAATGCTGGTAAAACATGTCAGTACAGAACAAGGGGGCCCGTTCAGAAAGGAGGCTGAAAAAGAGAGAATGAGGCTGAGAAAGCTAACATTTTTAGGGAAACCAAGTAAGGAAGGGAACTGCAAAAGGTGAAGCTGGTTGAAATGTATATATTCATTTCAATTAGCCATACAACTTTCGCAGCAAAATTGGGGAGGGGGAAAAAAACCCTAATAAGCAGAAGAAATGTGTTTAAGCTGATGGAAACTTCACAGGATGAAACAAGAAACAAGGAACAGCCTTCTGGTAAAGCGAGATAAAAGCATACTTTAATAATCAAAGTACAGATACAAATGCTATGTCCTTCTAGCAAACTCATGAATAACTACTTTCCCACTGACCTTTAAACTGGCCTTACATTGTACAAGGGAACTGACAAGAGATGCTTTGTGCGTGTTTAATGCATATATACAAGGCATAGAGTCATCTACTAAGATTCTGTCATAGTGAATGGTGTTAAGAGAAAGGAGATAAATCTACATGCTTGGTATGCAGGCCCCCCCAAAATCCCATCCCTGTTCTAAGAAAGGAAGGTTTTCTATGCTGGCATCACTGTAGTCATATTTATGAGGTCATTAGAAAGAAAATCCAATAAACAGGATTTAGCTTCCCAAAGATCATACCTCCTCTTTTGCTGACCTCAGTTTCTTCCAGTGGACATGCTGTTGCCATCTGAACCTAAGAAAGGGCTTTATTTCAGGGCTAGGTGTTTGATCCCCTCCAGCACAGTCTTTTTTCCGTGACTCTTTAAAAAATATTTCTTCTTGGACTGCTCTCTAGGCAGTTCCTTGAAACCACAGCAAGAGGCTGAAGTTTGAGAACAGCTGGGGATTTATTTATTTTTTTACCCCTTTATATTCCCTGGGGAAAAAAAAAACTAGCAGATTTCAGTTTCTTTCAGGGATAATAAAGGCCAGATATTGTTGCTTTTTTTATAGTACATTAGGCATGTTGCTTGACTGTCCCATATGTGTTTTATATTGATAACGATTATGTTGTTTTGGGTTAGTTTTATGAGATGTATTAATGGTTATGGAGCATAATGTTATGAGTAATTAGTTATAATTTAGATGTTAAATGTTATTTTATGACTCATACAGAGTCTTAAGCATTTTAAATGTTATTATAACATTAGTTCTAATCTTTTGTTTTTAATTCTTTCCAACAATAAAGGATTGGAAAGAAAATACATAAAGGGGCTCGGGGCTGTCTGCCTGTTTGTCTGTCCATCAGCAAGAAATCTCTCTGAAAATGGAAGAGAACAGATCTAAAATTGGTGTGGGAGAAAAAGCTGGAAAAATAAAGATGGAATTTGAAAATGGGCTGGATGACGCCAAGGCCTGGAGAAAAACGTTTCTGAAAATTCCCCCAAAAGATGTTTATGGGAGAAAAGATTGGGCAGACTTCATTCCTTCTACTTTGTCATGCTTGCCACCTTTTACTGATTTTATTCTAATTTCTTTGCTTGATCGTTGTGGGCTGCCTTGAGTTGTGGAACTCAGGTGGCATACAAGTTTAAGTTATGAAAATGAAGCTTTGATGGTGGGATTTAATGATTAGATGGTTTGTGTTGATAGAAATAACATGAATTTGGATTACTTAGTGGTAAGAGATTAATTTTTTAATTTGTACTCATAACTGTATTGGCGATAGTCAGAAGTCACTTTCCGTTTCATCTTTCTATCTGTTCTCACTATTTCAGTTTTTGTCTTTTTCTTTTAGTTCTATTTTCTTTCTTTTCTATACTTTCTGATTTGCATTTTAACTCTGCTGTTTACATATCTTAATAAAAGTTTTAATTAAAAAAAACAAGTTTAAGTTATGATGATAATGATGAGGATAGTGTCCCTCCCACCTCCTTCCTGGTCATGTGACCCAGAGCAGAATGTATGCACTCCATGCTTGCCAGCGCCGACAAACACATGAACACAGAGATGCAACAGGAGGAAAGAGAAGAAGGAGACACACACACACGGATGGAACATGCTATATTATTGCACAGAAGAAAATACAGTGGCTTTCTGTGGCAACTGAAAGGGGTTGAAAATAATTTGAGAAGCCAAACTCTACATGGTTTTCCTTCCATGTAGATCTATTCCACGGACATCTAGATGCCTTCAAAGCCATTTCTTCTCATCCTTTTGCACTTTACTTTTCCTCGAGAAGGTAACTGGGCTCACTCTGCCCACTAAACCATCATGTGGTTATTTAGATTTGATTAAGCATACTGTATAAATTTAACCAACTTTGGGTTATTCACAAACAATGATTGAATAAACCATGGTTTAGCACAATGGGTGAGCAAAGACAATGTTAATCCTTGAAGCACACTAGAAAGAACTATGGACATTATTGAAGTAAGTGTTTGGGGTTTTATGATTTTTTAAAAGATTGCTTTCATACTTAAGAACCTTTTTCAATTGGCAATACCAGAAACTGGAGTGGGGAACCTTCTGCGTGTGAAGTAGATTATGAGAACCACCAAAATTATAGTCCCACTCCAATTTCTACACAATACTGTTTGCTTGTTGGTTAGGGTTTGTTAAATTTAGAGTTCCAGGTACAGCCTTCCTGTCACCCTTTCTCCCCAGACATTTCTGTGGAGGGGAGTGCTTGGCTGAGAGATACTGACTGGTTCATGGGCTTCTCAGAGGTTTGAAAATCTGCAAGAGTGTGGGCACAACTTTGCAATTGCCCTTTTGCAAATTTTTACATGCACACCCACCAACTAACACCACTGGACTTGCTCAAAATCATACAATGAGCTTCCAAGGTGAAGGGTGGACTCAAACTTTACAACCTCTCAAGTGACTTATTCAGTTGGAGATCTTTGGCCATGTTATATGTTTCAGTCTATGTTCTGACTTATTTGCCTTTCTAACAATTGATTGATTACGTGCCATCCAGTCAATGTTGACTTTTAGCAACCACATCTACCTATAAGTGACTAATTTACTTCCTTGGGAAAAAAAGGAATTTATAGAATTTACTCTCCATATTCTTATTCCAATCTGAAACTAACCATGCAAGATCTAGATTCCAAACTGGTTAGGCCTGAACTTTTTGTTCCTGTTCAGCATACTTCAGAAATGTTCCCTCTTTATTTGAGTACCTTAATTGTTCTAAAATACAGGATGCCTTTTTGCTATGACCTCTTAGGTACCAGAAGCCATTTAAAAAACATTCTGCCAGCTCAAAGAAATAGCCACTAGAACCCTGGTGAGGTCAAACCCATGAAACCTAGAGGGTTATACTGCAGCTTATAAAGGGCCAAGAGACAGTTGCTTGCGGTCATTCACAGGTCAGTGCGAGGAGCTGCCAGGAAGTGTGTGTGCACCCAAATCAAATATTACAGTGATAACTGCCACATTTTTAAAAGCTTTCCCTAACACCAGAACATCGCAGGTACTGTGGCTTCATAAGAATACCTTCCATGATATAAACTTACTAGGTGTAGTTGTTTTGTTAATTAACACTGCATTTGTATCTCAAGGCTATGCTAAATCAGTCAGTAGAGGAGACTTGCCTGCTGTCCCGGTCAGCATACATCTCCATATGTCGAGGATTAATGGTGGAATCGATCACAACCCAGGATCCTCCTCTGAGTTCTGCTTGGGGTGGGATATAAACAAGGACTGGTTGCTTATATTCTCGCAGACCGTCCACAATATAGGCCCCAAACTTCAGCACCTGGTCATACATATCTGCAGAAGAAAGGACACAGAAGTAAGAGGTTGGCATGCTGTTTTCTTCCTAACACCCCCCCCCGAAAAGTATCATTTAACTTGTGGGTTTCATTGCTTCAAGCGGTGGCTCTTGGCCTAAATTACTTTTTAAGAGAAGACTGAAACAAACTTATGAAAGGGAGAAATCCTATCATCAGTCTTTAGACACAGATGGCCAAATGGAACTTCAAAACTGTCATGGAATCCAAGGATAGAAATGTTCCACTTCAAGACTGCATTTGAATATGCAGCAGGAAGGAGTGATTGCATTAAAAGCTCCTACAAGATATTTATTGAGAAAATCCCTAAGGGCCAGAAACATTGCTTATCCTCCCAGCAGCTGGTATTCGGAGATATCCTGTTCCTGAAGATGGAGGTCCAACTCTTCTTCATTCAGGAAGGAAAAGAAGTCTCTAATCTCCATATAAAGCCATTGAAATCTAAGCCATCTAAAATCTAGCTGATTTTGCTGCTTGGGGCAATGAGCAAGACCTCATTCTATTCCAGGTACTAAAAAAGATTGGGCTGAATCTCCATTTTTGGACAATGGTGATGAGACAGCATCAGTCACAATACCTGTTGGTGGCAGGCAGACTAGAAGTGTAAGGTAGACTAGGTGATCCACAGATCTCTTCTACCAAATGATAGAACCATTTAGATGATGCCTAATTACAGTCATACAGACATGCATACTTAAAAACCACACATAACTTTGGTTTGCTCCAGTGTGATCTTTAACTTGTTCCCAGGCAAACAGGAATATAGTATCCAAAAAAAATGTTGACAAAAAAGAAGAGTAACTTTTGGTTTAAGGTCATCTCTGGATGAAAGAAACAATCCTTTTGTTTCCTATAGCAAATGACAAATTTATTGCTAATTAAACAATCGCTTTATTATGTAGCCCTAGCAATAAACCACTTGAAACTCCTTTCAGCTAATTCCAGTGTTAAGAAAATAATTGCTCGATTCAAATTATTTTAACCAAATTAATTCTTTAGTAGACTTTTTTTTTTAGTCGCGCTGCATAATAAAATAATGGTGCAATTAGCGTGGCATTTTTCACTCCTGCTATGAACGTATATTTTATTTGGAAGTAGCAGCCTGAGCTAAAGAGGGCTCGTTTGCATGGAGCTGGTGATCTTAAATAAATAAAAAATAGAGGAGGAGGAGACGTTTGCTGGGAAAGAACTAAAATCCTCATAAGCCATAGCAACTTTATTCAATCCAAGGCACCAACCATCTATTGAACTGTAACAGCTAATAGTCACTGATATCAGCACTCAACTTTCTGAGGGGAAAAACGGAGGGGCTGATTTTAGTCCTGAATGCTTTAAAACTGTATGTGTATCTGCTCAGGAAAATGTAGTGGGCAATGCATAGCTAATCCCTAAAGCAGTGCTTCCCAAACTTTTTACTTCATTACCCCAAATTGCTTATTAGAAGGAGGGCACTGGTGGGTATGTGCATGCGAGCGAAGGGGGGAAGGAGGGCGCGGGGCATGCGAGCAAAGAAAGGTTGGGGTGGTTGGGGGAGACTTGCGACCTCCCTTGCTGGCTTCCCCATGGACTTTGCTTGCAAGGTTGTAAATGATGATCACATGACTGTAGGACATTGCAACTGGTTGTAAATGTGGGCGGGCTGCCAAGTGCCCAAATTTTGATCACATGATCATGGAGGCACAACAATGGCCAGAACTTCAAGGACCAGTTGTAAGTTCCTTCCTTCAGCACTGTTGTAACTTCCAACGGTTGCTGAATGAATGGTTAACTCGAGGACTACCTATATTATAAAAACAATATCACTGAATGATCTTTATGTCATTTCAATAAATTACCATTGGGAATTTCAACGATTTTCGTCTTAATAGGAATACTTGGGGAGATTTTCGAATATATCTTAGTACACGTGGCAATCTTTAAGTCAAAGATTGGCCTTGTGTGTCATTACCCAAAGAAAAACCACTTTTACCCAATTTTGGGTAATTTACCCAGGCTTGGGAAGTACTGCCGTAAAGAGCGGGGGGTGGCGAGAAGTCAAGAGACGTCATCAATGGAGGTAAAGGCCAATTTTTTAGCCTGTTTTCTTTTTCAGATGTGTGGAGAGTTTGTTATTTGTTTGTTACTTGTTAAATGGCCTCTGTTTTGTTCTGTGCATTTTGTTATTAGAACATTTGAATCCCAGCTGCTTGCTGATTTAATATTTTTAGCTGTTTTTATGTCTTTTTTAGTTTTAGGCACTGCCCAGAGTCTACTGGAGTTGGGCAGCCAATAAATTTAAAATCATCATCATCATCATCGTCGTCGTTGTCGTCGTTGTGGATGAAGGCTAGCATACCTATTTTGGTCCTTATTTTATTCCCCCCACAAAAGAAAAGCCATGCTGTCAAAACCCGGTGATTTGTGGCCAGTTTCAGCAGTGCAAGCATGAGGATGACAAAACGTGGACTTGGGTCATAGAAGCTAACTTATGCAAGTTAGCAAGTTATGCAAATAGTTTTGAGTTTGCATTTCAGGTCAGAACTGGGCAGAACAAGGCATCTTTAACCACAGGATCTAGAGCGCATTGACAGAACATGGCTTGCCAAGCAGAATATCCCACACTTAACAGGTCTGCAAAAGTTTCAGGCTGAGAGACAGTAGTTATCCGTCACTATAGGCCTGACTGTCCAAGTCGCTCCAATGATCTGATTTAGTACAAGCTCCACATTTCTTCTCTAAGCAGGGATTCCTGTAACCAGTGGGCATCAGGCAGTGATAGCATGTACAAGGATGCTTAAATTCCTTGGGAAAAAAATAGGTTATAAATATAAGAAGTGCATAAAAACCCAAAATGGGGGGATCAAAAGGTCTTGGCCTGAGGCCTAAACAACAGTCACGCTTACAGCAGAGAATTCCTAATTCACTCATTCATTTTTCTTCTCCCTTATTATTCTGTATAATACCAATACAAAATAGAAACAAAGGTACTGATATTCAGTAGATATGGGAAGTTGATATATCATGGACTGCTTTAAAAAAAAGAGAGGGCCTACGAAAAGAGTTCCCCATGCATTTCAGTGGAGGAAATGCTCAAAGTTAACCACTCTGTTGAAGCTAATGGGGAAAATAGCATAAAATGCCTATTTTGAGGTGGAAACACTAGGCTCAGAAGTATTCTGAGCACAAAACAGCCCTGTCTCAGAACACCACTGATGGAGCCACAACCCTCCAGTTCAAGCTGGAAATACTTTGAACCATTTTGCACACTCTTAGAAAAAGAATCTGTCTTGGAAGCCGAAAGTAACTGAAGCCCTACTTTGATAAAGAATTTCTTGAATTTACGGAGAAAAAATGCTCGGCCACACATCTTCCTGAACGTGCAGGGACTAATAAGCTAGCAATATCAATGTACCTAGCCCATTACAATGAAAACAAACTGAAAAGCTATCTCCCGCATAGGAGTTTGTATTCTAAACTGAATCAGTACAGGGGGCAACAGAGAGATGGGTCAGGGAAGGACAAACCATGATTATTTCCTCAAATTTGACCACTGGTCAATCTGACTGTATGATACTAAGCAGCCTTTTTCAACCTGGCACTCTCCAGATGTGGTGGGACTGTGACAGTCATGTTGGCTGGTAATTCTGGCATCTGCAGGTCCTACACATTTCAGAGGTATCAGTTTGGGCAGAGGTTTGTGTGTGTGTAGTCAAAGTTTAGGAGAAGCATTTCAGAGTTTCACCACAAAGGTCTCTCCCTGAACATGTTGGGGGTTGAATCTGGAACCTTCTGCCTGCAAACAATGCACTATACCAGTGTTTCTCAACCATAGCATGCTGGCTGGGGAATTCTGGGAGTTGAAGTCCACCCCTCTTCGAGTGGTCAAGGTTGAGAAACACTGAGCTACACCGCTGAGCCATATGTGTTATAGAAGAATGCTATTCCAAGGACGCTCTTTATTGCTTAATGAAGGGAGTAAACTCAGGGTCTCTTTGCAGGTGAGTTATTCTTAGAGATGCTGGAAGCCAAACCTAGGATCTTCCACATGCAGATCATGTACCTTCCCACTGAGCAAGGACGCTTTCCCTAGAACCAAGCTGAAGCCTTCATGGAGAGAGGAAGGTGATACGGGAAAATGGGATAGATGAGAAGAAGGTGACACTGTGTGGCTGGGAAGGAATGCCAAGCGTTAGCGCGACGGGAATAATGGATAGAATCATTCAGCACCAGAGACAAGTGACCGTCACGGGCCGGAACATCACATCTCTATCTAAATCTATAAAAATTTGAAACAAGGAAATAAAAGCAAAGACAGACAACCCTCAACTGGATTGTCCCCAAGCAATGACAGCAAAATATTTCCTATTTCTATCCACTGTCAAACATCTAATCACAAGGATAAAATTTTTATAATTAGCTCCGTGCAATTGAAAAAAAAAAATTCTATCAACTTTCTTAGGTGTCCTGGAAAATAGGCACCTGTATTTTCCCCCCTCAGCTCTGTAACTGTGGTCTTCCTCTTTTGCCCTTGTCTGTCAATTTTAGGCTACGTTCAAAGCTGGAATTAACCTCAGTAGTTTTCATGGAGCCCTAAGAAATGAAGGAAAGGAAACAAAAATTCACCAAGTAGGACATCCACAGCGCTCATATAGAGAATGTACTAAATTCATTACATTTGGTTCTGCTGCAGTACAAACATTCAGGTAATCAGTGTTGTTTGGTTCTTTCTTTAAAGTCTTTTTTATTCTGATTAAAGTCTCTGGTAACTGTTCCTTTTTATTGTTATTTATAACCTGTCCCAGAGGGTGGTGGGAGAAAAAAAGGGGTAACATGAAAAACTAACTGAGAACGACCCCATAGAGCGGCCAGCAAGGCGGTTTAATATCTTTGGGATTTGCATCTTATCAACCCTATTCACGCTGGGCTCGAGACCCCGGTGCTAATTTACTGGAAATTTCACGCTTGATGTCTCACTGTTGTGGGTCACTGGCAGTTCGTCTAAATAAACTGCTTGCCTCCATCTAAATATTCAAGGCGGGCTTTAAAAAAAATAATTTAATTTTTGCAATGTGCTAGAGAGCTTTGTAGCTCACTAGAACGCGTTTAGAGGAAGGCCGCCTTCCCCTCCCAATATGACTTTATTTATTATATAGATTAAAATAAATAAATATACATATATAGATATAGATATAAATATATGCACAGAAGCCAGTGTGTGTGGATGGCAAACATACACACACACCCCAGTCTAAATTAGACCCCCTGCACTGACTTGTAAAGAATTCCCCCCCCCCTCCCACTAATGTCAATTCTCAACATGGCAAGAGCGCTCTCTAATCTTTTCCTACTCATTACACACAATTTTGGAGTCATTTTACCCACAGCGCAGCCGTTTCTTAGCAATGTGTGTACATATGCATGTATTTGTGTGTTCTTAGGCTCACCAAGGGGTGGTATAATTGTTTATTTTCATTCCCTGCTTAATCCTTTCCTGCTTCCCCTTATAGCCCAACTAACACTGAAACTAAAATTGCAAACAACTCTCCAAGGGGAACTGGAAGATTGACAACGAGAGCTCTGAGTTTCTATACCTGCCAGCCCTAGGTAATATCTAAGTTGGAAGATTTTTTTTTTTAGGGGCAAGGCAAGACCTTGGGGCTGATGGCTTTTCACACAGAGAATCTATCAGATCCCCTAACCACACTGATTGTTGCTAGCCCCTGTTGAGTTTCAGACTGCAGGCTGCTCCAATGGTTTGTGATCAAGGTGGCCCTTTTCTTTGGCCAGTGATCAACCAACCTTCCATTTCTCTTATTCTGGCTGCCTTAAGAGCTGCAGAGATACATGACGGTAAAACAGGATGCCATCAGAGCGGATGGGACTCAGCTTTCCAGCCCAAATCGTTTTATTTCTTGCAGCATGGGGGAGGGGGGAGAAGGGTTACCGAAAATAGATGCATTTCGCCTCCCCAAGGCTTGACATCCCTGTTTTGCATCCTTAATTGAAAAGAAAAATAACTAGCCCTGCCAAAAGTCATCACTACGATGCCAGGTTTTAGCAACTGGATCCTACAGGGCTTCCAAAAGTCATTGGAGACCCACGCAGCGTACAGAACATCAAATCCTGTTTTATATGCCCTCTCCTATTGATGGTTATTTGCATCTTTAAATTCATCTCCATTCATCTCTAGGAAACTCCTTTAAATGTGTAAATATGAAGTATGGCAACAGAACCATATTGAGTAAAATAGTGGCTAAGTAGGTAAACGTTGACATAGAAAATCCACCAGTTTGAATCTTCCCACTGCCATTAATTGACTTCGCAGTCTCATACTAGCCTGCCTACTCAACCTAAGCCGACTTCCTTTATACAAGATGCAGAATAGTAATACTGCTGCCCTGAGCTGGGAGGCTGGACTAGATGACCTCTGGGATACCTTCTAACTCTACATACGGTTGTATGATTCTTCCTCTTGAAGTCCAGAACAGGTTTTGTGTCGCATCTCTAGGTATCTCTTCCAAAAGCGGGCAAAGCCAGGGGTTTTAGTATGAAATTGGTAATTTAAATGTCTGCAAAGCTTAAGACATCAATTTTGTTCCTCACTGCCGGAAGCCGGATTCGCTTAATGACTCTGGTGATTCACTTAACAACCATGGCAAAAAAGGTCATAAAATTGGACATGGTCACACGATGCCTCACTTAACAACTGCATCACTTAGCAACCAAACCTCCAGTCCCAATCATGATAGTAAGTTGAGAATTACCTGTAATACCAGGCTTTTCTTCAGCCAAGAATCAGGTTTGGTCACAAGCAATCTGTTGAGACTATGTAAAATTTCTGAGGCTTACACGTGGCCCTAAAGCTGCAGGTTGTCCCTCTGAACCAATGTGATTGTAACTACTGAAGAATTCTACACAAACATTAAATACTAAATTAAACTATCTCCATGAATGATCCAGGCTACATTTCCTTCCTCATCAGACAAACTGATTAATATCTGTAGACTTCATATAAAGAAACAGGGGTTATCCAAAGATTGGGGTGGGCAATCGATGCATGTTGGGGACATATTTGGAATTTTGAGAGCGATTCATGGATGCACTCACAAAATGGCTGCTAGTCACAAAACATCCACCCACCAGAGGATGAAATACCTCTGACCCATCCCGTCTTCAGGATAGGCTCTATCATCCAGTAGGACTTTTATGGGCTGCAAACACAGTTAAAGATTAGTGGCTGCATACACCCAACCTGTTAAACTTGATTAGCATTAAGCTTTTGATGACTGAACATCTCATGCAAACCCACTTAGTTTATGGATCACTGTATTGTGAAAACCCAGAAAATGGTTTCATCTATACTTAGGTTAAACAGCCAATGTTAGTTAGAGCCTGGTGCTTGGCCTTCCAACGTGTCAACCATTTGGTGTTTAATTAAAAGAATCTTCAAAGATATCAGGTGAGAAAGAAAGCTGTTGAGCCTGAAGACAGATCTCTGGGTTTACAAACATGCCTGTCTCTTCAACAGATCTTCATCCTGGCTTTCCTTTTTAGCACCTCTTCCCTTGGCAGCATTTTGCAAGCAAATAATTCTCTGAATCTTTAAACAGATGTAGATGATACTGACACCCTGCAGTCCTCAAGTGTTTGGGTCCAACAGGAAAGAGTCAGCACTGAGAAACAAGAAGGCAGCTGCAGCACATTGAGTGAACTTCTGAGATGTGTAGAAACCAAATTTTTTCTGGGATCCCAAAAATAAAAGATATAATTCCCTCTCCCACCCTTCCAAAAACAGGCCTACCAGAATGTAGACACAGAATGCTGAGAGCCAGATGGGGGCAGGTGGGAGGAAGGATAGACACTGTTTTAATGTCTATCCCATGGACTACCACTAAACCCACCCCTAAATTCCATTAATTGTCCCAGTCCTCTGCCCTCTACCACCACCACAGCTTTTCAATGTGCTTCTTTCCCTTTTTTAGAATAATCACCTTTCATTCCACCTGAGAAACCTCTCCAGTTGGCAAAGACGATCAGCGGAAGTCCTTCCCGGTTAAAATCCTTGATCGCTTCAGCGGTTTTGAAGGCAGAATCAGGAAACCATACTTGGCCAGCTTGCTGGATAATCTGTTGCAGGAGGTGGGGAGAGGGAAGATAAATTATCCAGAAAATAAAACACAAATGCAGAGGCATTTCATTGATGCAACAGTCTTTTACAGAAATGGAAAACTGTGTTCTTCCAAGCATGGAACGCAGACTGGGAACATCCCCTTTTTTGTCTATATTGGCTGGCTATGGCTGAAATTACATTGGAACAAAGGCCAAAGTTAGATCAGATTCTCCACCTTTATTTTACTACAAGAAATGGTTATCAACCAGCTGGAATATAAAATCCAAAGTTGCAAACCCCTAGACAGGTACATCATGTTAGTCCAGCCCTCCCCAACTGGATGCCCTCCAGGTTGGCTGAGACTACAGCTCCCAGAATTCCCCAGGCAATGGTCATGCTGGCTTGGAATAGCTGCAGTCTCAAAACACTTGAAGAGTGCCACCTTGGGAAACACTGCATTAATCACAGCAATAACCTGACCATGAGAATCACCTCTTATGTCTTTCTGAATCCCATGACAAACCACTAAGCCTTTTTTAAAAGGATCTCTAAACTACGAGATTTGTACAAGCACAAATGCACTGCAGCAACCCAGAACAGGAGAAAAAGGAAACAGACCTCCTATACTTCTTCCAACAAAACGGATACCCACGCAACCTTATCAAAAAGTGCCTGATCACTCAACCCACTGCAGCACAACCAATACAAGCTATGAAAAGGATAACAATATCATACATCAAAAACATCTCAGAAACAACCAACAGGCTATTACAACCATTACAGTAGCACACAAACCAACTAAAGCCCTCCAAAACATCTAAAGTCAACCAAAAGACCCAGTAGCCCAAGAAGAAAAAATAGGAGTCATCTACAACATACAGTGTAAGGACTGTAACAACCGCTATGTAGGACAGACAGGCAGAAGACTAGCAGAGCACATCCTTGAACACCAACTAGCATTCAGAAGACATGATAAAAATCTCACAACACATGGACTCAATCTCACAACACATGGACAGACTTAATCTCACAACACATGGACAGACTCAACCATAGTTTCAGCTGAGAAACTGCAAACATTCTAGATCAAGCTAAATCTAAAAACGTTATGGAATCCCTGGAAACTTGGCATTCAGACAAATCAGCCATCAGTAGACACGTTGAGATAAACCACATTTACACACCATTCAAAAGAGACAACAAAAAAAGCTAAGAAGGAAACAAAAAGACCAGAATGCACCCTCTCCAGCAGCCAACACCCAGATAAGCAGGGATTAACACCAGACAAATGATCAAGCTGAAAACAATACCCTAATCAAGGAACTACCAAGGAGAAAGCCACACCCCCACCAACACTGGCAGGGCAAGCTACTGTATATAAACAGGGAACAAACCCCACACTCACTCGTACTGACAATGTTACCTAGTCAGGCAATGAAAGGTCTGCAAGCAAACCACCAAACTCAGAGAGCACCCAGGACTCCACAGACTTGTATGAGTCAGAACAGGCTTACTAGATCTGGCATGCCAAAATCCAAGGATGTGCTGTTTCTCTTGGATGCCATCTGGTGGTCATACAGATGTTTTCAGGCCATACATGGGTCATCTACCTTAGAAACAACACTTACCTTGGCTTCTGAGTCTAGGTTTGCAGGATCTGCAGGAATGCTCAGTTCCACTGTCCTCGTTTCAACAGCAACCACTCCAAGTGGTATCCCACCCAGCCTAGTAAAAGCAATAACACAGATGAAATGCTTAGGCAATGTTCCCCAGCCCTGTTCAAAACACTGGTTCTGATTTTTAAAACCTATATAAGGCTTAGAAGAAGGCTCAGCCAAAATTGCTTTTGCAAAATAAACAGAACGTAAAGAACATAAAATAATAATATTTTTTTAAAAAGCAGCCAGTAACAAAAACAGAAGCAACAACTCCAACTCTAGTTTGGGTGTGCTTGTAGATCCACAGACAGAGGGGCTGTGTATGCTTTGAAAATGTTTTAGCTCTGGATGAGCACAGTTTCTTTCTGTTACCCATTAAAGCAGCTTGCTTTTTTTTTCAAGCTTTCTTGCAAGCCTGAGAAACAGTTACTGTAACTTTAAAAACTGCAATAATTTTAATGAGTGGACTCTTTAAAGCAGCATATCTTTTTTCAGGCCCACTTCCCCATAACAAGGCATTAAGATGTAATTTTTAAAAATACACAAAAGGATGGGTTAAATAAAAAACACAGATAAATAGCATTCCCTATTAAAGTTCAAAAATATACCTACAGATCCACAACAATCATGTACAGTCTTGACTGTCTGGGGGCTGGCTTACAAATGGGCCCATTTTGAGTAGGGGTATTCAAGACATTTTGAGCTTGAAATGAGTGGTCCAGACCTTACCAGAAATGTGCTGAAACAGCCCTTGATTCATGCTCAGAACATGTCCCATATGATTAGAACCATCATCAAAACCCTTCTGAAAAGACCAGAAGAGCTGTCTGAAGCTCAGAACATTTTGAATTCAAAATATTTTGCACCCCAGTAGCTTTGCGTTTTGCATTTGCCAATAACACACTGTATGACCATGACTCCTTTTTAATTCAGATATCTTGCTATCTTACAGGGTTCTTATACTAATAACAAGAATCTTAAGTGCTCTGAGGATGCTAAAGCACTCTAGGCATGGTTATTATTGTCGCTACTATTCTTAATGTTATTAAAGGCTTACCTGGCTCTACCAACTACAACAGTCTGAGCCCAGGGCTGCATGATCTCCAAAAAAGAGCCGTAATCAAAGAAACCACTTAGCCATTGGCCCTTTTGAGCTACAAAGATGGGGAGAAAAGAGGAAATATTAAGAAGAGTGGAAAATTAGTATTACTTGGTACCATAGCAGATCTTGGTTTGGTGAACAGAAGAGCAGACGAGTTCCACTAGGATGGTGGAGCTGAAGGGGGACCCCTTCTCTCCTTAGTCACCCACTAGCCACCCAGAGTTGCCCACTGGGGGAGATAGCATACAAATTTAATCCATCCATCCATGCTGTCCAGGAAGGAGAATATGGTAAAGGAGTTCCATAACTACCATTTCCCCCCTTTTCCACCCATTCCTTTCTTCTAATGACAATTAGACTAAAAACCTGTCTTAGTCCTTGAACAACTTTTATGAAATATTAGGTCCTTTAGAAGCAATGGCTGTGTTCACACAACTGAGATCACCACCATACCTCCTTTGTGCCCACCAGGCCCACTGCTTCACTCAGTTTTTCAGTTTGTTAAATATTAGGCAAAATTAAAATCAGAGATGGCATACTGAGAAGCAAAGCATCTTTACTGCCAAGTATGCCCTTGGATTCCACACAGGTCACACCAGCATTTTTAGAAAATAATGGTGTGTGGCAACAACCCAGTGCTTTGTTTGTAAATCTGCTCACTTGCACAGAAAAAGACAAAGATCAGCTGGAAGTTGACAGACATATTATGCTTAACTCATTCACTGAATTAACTTATGTCCTAACTTCACACAATGCATTGAACCATAAACTAACCACACAGGTTGGGCCTGAACAACTTATTAAGTCACTTAAAAAACTAACCAAGGTTAACACTGACTTAGCTAAGCGTATTTGCAAGTGAATTTGTAAGACCTTTACCTGACCTGCATAAATGTGTTGTCTGAACACAACCATTAACCTATAAGTCCAGCTCTGACCAAAGAAGGCATCTGTAACAAGAGTTGCCAAACCATCCTTGTATCCACAGGACCTAGTGCAGATCACCCGTAAAAGCAAGTACAGTGATACCTCGGGATACGAACGCCTCTGCTTGCGAATTTTTCGGGTTACGACCAGCTCTGGCCCCAAAATTTTCCCTCGGTTTGCGACCCCCGCCTCGGGGTACGAGCCATTTTCTGCCCGTGCCACGTGGTCCGCGGCCATTTTTCCGCCCGTGCCACGTGGTCC